ATAGGAATAGTTCTGAAAAATAACCATACGTCCTCCCTCCCCCTCTCCCTTCCTTAATCCCCCTCCTATCTTCTCTTTGTTTGTTAATTTTTGTGAAGATGTAATTTTAAACCACCCTATAATCACAGGCTTAAATCACCACTACTCATTAATATTCAACAAGTAAAAATAGGATGACCACAGCTCCACAGGAAACATGATATTTGTCTTTTTGAGGCTGGCTTATTTCACTAAGCATAATGGTTTCCAGTTGCATCCATTTTGTTGCAATAGAGAGGATTTTTTTTTGACTGATTAGTATTCCATATGTACATACGTGGCATTTTCTTTGTCCAATCATCAGTTACTGGAAAAAATAAATGGTACTGGGAGAACTTGGTATCCATCCTCAGAACAAAAGTCTCTGGACCCCTATCTCTTAATATCTAAAAAAATCAACTCAAAATGGATCAAAGGCTTACATGTAAGATCCAACTCAATGAAACTACTAGAAGAACACATAGGGGAAATGATTCAGACTTTGTTCTGGGCAAAGAATTTTTTTGGATGTGACTCCTAAAACATAGGCAGCAAAAACTGACAAATGAAATTTCAGGGTCAGCGCTGTGGCATAGTGGGTAAAGCCCCCGCCTGCAGTGCTGGCATCCCATATGACCGCCAATTCGAGTCTTGGCTGCTCCACTTCTGATCCAGCTCTCTGCTATGGCCTGAGAAAGCAGTAGAAGATGGCCCAGGTCCTTGGGTCCCTGCACCCATGTGGGAGACCAGGAAGAAGCTCCTGGCTTCGGATTGGCACAGCTCTGGCTGTTGTGGCCAATTGGGGAGTGAACCAGAGGAAGACCTCTCTCTCTCTCTCTCTCTGCCTCTCCTCTCTCTCTGTAACTCTGACTTTCAAATAAATAAGTAAATCTTTAAAAAAATAAATTTCATTGAACTAAAAAGCTTTTGTATATCAGAGGAAATAAAACAATGAAGAGTAAACCTGCAGAATTAGAGAAAATGTTTGCAAACTATTCAACAAATAAGGGATTAGCATCCAGAATATATAAGGAACTCAACAGCAAAACACAGTCCAACTTTAAGAAATGGGCAAAGGAGATGAATAGACATTTCTTAAGAGATGATATACAAAAATAGCTAACAGGTATATGAAAAAGTGCTCAGCATCACTAATTGCCAGGTAAATGCAAATCAAAACCACAATGAGGTATCATCTATCTCCAGTTCAAATGGCTCTTATAAAAAAGAAAAAAATAGAAATTGCTGGAAAGGAGGGAGGGAAAGAAGTTTGCTCATATACTGTCAATGGGAAAGAAAATTAGCATAACTATTATGGAAGACAGTATAGCATTTCCTCAAAAAACTAGAAATAGAACTACTATATTATTCAGTAATCACACTACTGGGTATACAGCCAAAGGAACTGGAATGTCTAAGAATTGCCTTCACTCATACACTCATTGCAGCACCATTCACAATGGCCAAGATATGGAATCAACCTAGGTATTCATTCACAGAGTGGATAAAGAAAATACAGTGTATATTCCCAATGGTATATTATTGAGCCATAACAAAGAATAAAACTCTGCCATTGACAACAAAATGGATGGAAATGGAGGCTATTATGCTAAGTGAAGTAAATCAGGCATAGAAAGACAAATATCACATGTTCTCATATATGGGAGCTGAAAAGTTGATGTCATAGAAGTAGAAAATAGAATAGTGGTTACCAGAGTCTGGGGAAGATGTGTTGGGGACAGACAGGGAGGATGAGAGAAGATGGTTAATGGCTTATGGTTGGATACGAGGAATAATTTCTATTTTTAAAAAAGAATTATTTAGGAGCTAGCACTGTGGCACCATGGGTTAAAGCCCCAGCCTGCAGCGCCAGCATTCCATATGGATGCTGGTTGGATTCCCAGGTACTCTACTTCCAATCCAGCTCCCTGTTAATGCACCTGGAAAGCAGCAGAGGATGGCCCAAATCCTTGGGCCCCTGTATTCACGTGGGAGACCTGGAAGAAACTCCTGGCTCCTGGCTTCAGATCCGGCCAGCTCCAGTCAGTGCAGCCATTTGGAGAGTGAACCAGCAGATGAAAGACTTCTCTCTCTGTGTCTCTATCTCTCTCTGTAACTCTGTCTTTAAAATAAATAAAATCTTAAAATCTATTTATTTTTAAACAGAAGGGGAGGGACACACACACACACACACACAGAGTCTTCTATCCACTGGTTCACTCCTCAGGTGGCTGCAGTGGTCAATGCTGAGACAGTCCAAAGGCAGGAGCCAGGGGCTTCATCTGGGTCTTCCATGTGGTAGCAGGGGTCCGAACACTTGGGCCATCTTCCATTGCTTTTCCCAGGACATTACCAGGGAGCTGGATCAGAAGTGGAGCAGCCTGGACCCAAACTGATGTGCATATGGGATGCCTGTGTCACAGGTGACTGCTTTACCTGCTATGCCACAAGGCCATCCCCAGGAAGAATAATTCCTTTCTAATAATCTATCACACAATAGGTTAACTATGATTGATAGCAATTAATTGACTATTTCCAAATAGCTAGTAGAGAAGATTTTGAGTCTTCCCAGTATAAAGAAATGATAAGTGTCTGAGGTGATAGATGTGCCGATCATCCTGATCACTACGCCTTGTATCTTGCATTAAAACATCTCACCGTACCCTGTAAGTATGTATATAAGTACTATGTGCCAATTAAAAATACATAAATAAGTATATATAAAGAAGTTGGTTTTGGTGTCCTATAAAAAAATCTTTACCTAACCCAAGGACCCTAAGCTTTTCTTCTATGTTTTCTTCTAGAAATTTTATACTTTTAGCTTTTACTTTTAGAACTATGATCCATTTTGAGTTAACTTTTGTTTATGATGTGACAGAGGGCTGAAGTTTATTTTTCCATATTGCTATCCAATCTTTATAGCACCATTTTTGAAAAGACTTACAATTTATCTATTTACCTTGGCATGTTGATAAAAATCAATGAGCCATATGCGTTAACATGTGTGTGTGTCTATCTCTGGAGTCTCCATTCTTTTTCATTGATCTGTATGTCAATCTTTAGTCAATACCACATAATCTTGGTTACTGTAAAGTTACAATAAAATATTTGGATTTCTGCAAGTAAACAGCCTAACTAGGGCAGTTATTGGAATTCCACTGAGTCTAGGGATTGAGTTGGGAACAATGAGAGTAGATGGGAGCAGCCAGATTGGGAGCTGTCCTCATCAAGTTGCTGCTGAAATTTTACCATTTCTTTTAAAATTTGAGACAGAATGATTAGGTGAATCTCTCTAAATTTTGTATTTATACTTGGCATGACTCAACCAAGCGCTAGTGAGCCTTCAGCCTCCCTTAATAAGACAGAGTAGGATGTCTGAAGTTTTTTAAGTGTCAAAATTGGAATGTTTGATCTTTAGTCATTCATTCATTTTATAAGAATTTATGAAGGTCATAGACCATTTTCAGGTGCTGTTCTAGGTGCTGGAGTTGTAGCACTTAACAAAAAGCAGATAATTATCTCTGACCCAAGAGAGCGTTTTTTTTTTCTGGCCTGCAGAGAGCCCCCCATGTACAATCAGGCCTTTGTGTCCAAGGGTTCCACGTCCGGGGACTGATACAAATACAGAGGGAAATCACTTGGGAAAAAACATGTTTCTGTACTGTATAAGAACTGACTTTGTTGGAGACATTATTCCCTAAGCAATGTAGTATAATGATTTGCATAACACTGACCTTATACTATTTTGAACAAATTAGAGATGATTTAGAATATGCAGGAGGATGTGTGTATGTCATGTGAAAACACTACATGATTTTTACATAGGGTGTTTGAGCAGCCACAGATCTGGTCATGGAACCAGTCCCCTGGGAATACTGCAAGGGGACTGTATAGGCTTGAGTAAAAGTAGAATCTTTTTTTTTTTTTTAAACTTTTATTTAATGAATATAAGTTTCCAAAGTACGAATAATGGATTACCATGGCTTCCCCCCCATACCGTCCCTCCCACCCACAACCCTCCCCTTTCCCACTCCCTCTCCCCTTCCATTCACATCAAGACTCATTTTCGATTATCTTAATATACAGAAGATCAGCTTAGTATACCTTAAGTAAGGATTTCAACAGTTTGCTCCCACACAGAAACATAAAGTGAAAAATAATAGATGATTTTTTTTAAATGATGATGAAATCAGATCAGACCTATTGTCATGTTTAATCCCAGTGAGAGTCAAGTTGGGAGTTGATAGTTTCTTTTCTTTTCTTTTTCTTTTTTCTTTTTTTTTTTTTTTACAGAGGATCAGTTTAGTATGCATTAAGTAAAGATTTCAACAGTTTGCACCCCCATAGAAACACAAAGTGAAATATATTGTTTGAGTACTCGTTATAGCATTAAATCTCAATGCACAGCACATTAAGGACAGAGATCCTACATGAGGAGTAAGTGCACAGTGACTCCTGTTGTTGACTTTACCAATTGACACTCCTGTCTATGGCATCAGCAATCCCCCTATGCTCCAGTCATGAGTTTCCAAGGCTATGGAAGCCCCTTGAGTTCTCCGATTCTTATCTTGTTTAGACAAGGTCATAGTCAAAGTGGAGGTTCTCTCCTCCCTTCAGAGAAAGGTACCTCCTTCTTTGAAGACCTGTTTTTTCCACTGAGATCTCACTCACAGAGATCTTTTGCCAGAGTGTCTTGGCTTTCCATGCCTGAAATACTCTCATGGGCTTTTCAGCCAGATCCGAATGCCTTTAGGGCTGATTCTGAGGCCAGAGTGCTATTTAGGACATCTGCCATTCTATGAGTCTGCTGAGTATCTCACTTCCCATGTTGGATCACTCTCCCCTTTATTTATTCTATCGGTTAGTGTTAGCAGGTACTAGACTTGCTTATGTGCTCCCTTTGACTCTTAGTCCTTTCATTATGATCAATTGTGAACTGAAATTGATCACTTGGACTAGTGAGATGGCATTGGTACATGCAGTTATTCTTGGGTGATCGAGGACTGGCGGCGGCAGCAGCGGGTGCGCTGGGAGAAGGCGCAGGCCGACAAGGAGCGGCGCGCGTGGCTGCAGGCCGAGGCCCAGGAGCGCCTGGGCTACCACGTGGACCCCAGGAGCGCCCGCTTCCAGGAGCTGCTGCAGGACCTCGAGAAACAGCAACGCAAGCGCCTCAAGGAGGAGAAGCAAAGACAGAAGAAGGAGGCGCGGGCGGCCGCCTTGGCCGCGGCGGCGCCCCGGGCCGCGGATCCGGGCCCCTCTTCCCCAATAAAGCTTGCTACCCGGCAGCCCCCTGAAACCCCCTTGCAAAATGCCCAGGGGAAGCAGAAGGGTTATTTCTTGGGGGGGGTTTCTGTGGGGCAAAAGGTTAACCCCCCTGCCTAAGGCGCCGGCATCTTATATGGGCACTGGTTTGAGACCTGGCTGCTCCACTTCTGATCCCACTCTCTGCTATGGCCTGAGAAAGCAGTAGAAGATGGCCCAAGTCCTTGGGCCCCTGTACCTGCATGGGAGACCCAGAAGAAGCTCCTGGCTCCTGGCTTTGGATCAGCGCAGCTCTGGCCGTTGTGGCCATTGGGGAGTGAACCAACAGAAGGAAGATCTTTCTCTCTGTCTCCTCCTCTCACTGTCTATAACTCTACCTCTCAAATAAATAAATAAATCTTTAAAAAAAAGAAAAGTTATTCTTCTACACTTTGACCTAGTACTATCTCCTCTAAGAATTTACTCCCATCTTGAAATCAGGGATGTACTAAAAATGTATAGAAAAATGTTCATTGCAGAATTTATGAAATCAGATTCTAGCAAAAAAGTCAAATATTTAATGATGGGGAAATGCATAAAAATACTCAGTGATATGTTCATTTGATTAAATATACATCACTAAAATTTTAAATTTTAAAAATAATGCTGAGGAAAGATAATTTAGAATGCCAAATAATTTTTCAGTAATATTAAATCAAGTTACATGTCAACCAGCTATTTGAAGGTATCTACATGACCTTTACCTTATTTCAGTGAATATTTAAACAAAACAGGATGTGGTATAATCCTAAGTGTGTGTATAATATGATTATAAAATAAAGTTGGTTTGTGTGGGAAGAATAATATCATATGGGCGGGCATTGTGTTGCAACTGATTAAGCTGCTGCTTGGGATGCCTGAGTCCCATATGTGAGTGCCTGGGATTGAGCTTCACCTCTGCTTCCAATCCCGCTTCCTGCTAATATGCTTGGGAGGCAGCAGGTGATGGCCCAAGGAGTTGGGTGCTTGCCACCCAAGTGGGAGACCCAGATGAAGTTCCTGGCTCTTCTTGGCTCCAGCCTAGTCCAGCCACAACTGTTGTAGGCATTTGGGGAATGTATTGGAAGATAAAAGATATTCCCGCCCTCACCCCTTGCCCCTCCCCCCTCCCCCTCCCTGCTCCCTCCTCCTTTCCCCCTCTTTCCCTCCCCCTCTCTCCCTCCTCCTTTGCCTCCCCGTCCCCTCCCTCTCTTTCACCTTGCCTTTCAAATAAACAAATAATAAATAAGTCTTAAAAAAGAAACAAACTCATGGTAATTTATAATTCTTTGATTACCAGTGATAGTATGATACTTGTTAATCTGGGCTATTTTAAAATTTCTTTTGTGAACTTTTTTTGATAAATTTCAAGAGTTTGATTTGTTAGGAAGTTACCTGGTTAGTGACATTTTTGTTCTTTTGCTAAGAGATTTATTTATTGTGCCTCAATAAATTGACTTTAAATAACTTTTAAAATACATTAAAAGTTTAAAGTATTCCTCAGGCTTATTGGGGAAGTCAGTAAATTACTTTATTTTTCATTTAAGATTTATTTATTTACTTGAAAGTCAGAGTTACACACAGAGAGAAGGAGAGGGATCGGGAGCGGGAGAGAGAGAGAGAGAGAGAGAGAGAGAGAGGTCTTCTACTGCTTTCCCAGGCCACAGCAGAGAGCTGGATTGGAAGTGAAGCAGCCGGGACTTCAACTGGCGCCTGTATGGGATGCTGGCACTGCAGGCGGTGGCTTTACCTACTACGCCACAGCGCCAGCCCCAGTAAATTACTTTCAATACTTCAAATTTGAAAAAACTCACATTCAGACTAATTTGGATGTAAGTATTCATCATTCTTTCCCACATTACTTTATTGTTTGGAAAATCTTTAATCAGGGCATTGGTGATTATATTGTTGATTTTACAGATCTTTCAAAATTTGTATTTCTTGCATATATGAGCACTATATATTTAACTACTCTGTCCATCCTGTTGTTGGGAGTGTCTGTTTCTGTAAGTTTTGACATTAAATTTTTGATTTGAGAACTAAAAAACTATAAATAGTAAACTAGATCCCAGCGGATGTTAAGTGTGCAGCTAAGACATGGAAAACATTTGCCATCTGTCGCTAAGCTGCCTTTCTAAGATCTGATCCAGGATGCGGACGCATCCTTCCTACCGTGCCCAAGCAGGGGGCTTGGGGACGGCTTCTGGACTAAGTCCTTTGCCAGCAGCTCTAGTGCAGCAGCCTTCTAGAGAGCAAAGGAAGGGGGAAGGGAATTCCATTCCAGGAGAGAAAGGCAGGGGTCCCCAGCAAATGCAAAGAGTTGGGAGTTAGGCTAACACCTTGGGCAGGTAAGACAGATGGCTGCCGGGGAGAAGGGTGTTGGCATTGTAGAACGGCAAGGAAATGGGGGTGGAAAGGCTGGGCCCAGATCACAGGAGCCTTAGACACCCTGCTGAAGAGTTTGAAATTCTTTCTGTAGGTAACTGATAGCAATGGAAGGCTTTGCGTTTAAGTGTAATTAAAACAACATGATTCTTTTTTTTTTAAACAAAATTTTATAAAAATTTATTTATTTACTTGAAAGGCGGTTACACAGGGGTGGGAGGAGGGAGAGAGGAAACAATCTTTCATCTGTTGGTTTACCCACCAAACAGCTAGAACGGCCAGGACTGGGCCAGACTGAATCTGGGAGCCAGGAACTCCATCTGGTTCTACCACAGGGGTGGCAGAGGCCCAAGTACTTGGGCCATCTTTCACTGCCTTTCCAGATACATTAGCAGGGAGCCAGATTGGAAGTAAAGCAGCCACTATTTAAACCAGTGCCCACATGGAAATGGCAGCTTAACCTGCTGTGCCACAGTGACGGCCCAACCAATGATTCTTTTTTAAACGTCATATCATGCTTTTTCTTTTTTCTTTTTTTAAATTTATTTATTTATTTTTTGACAGGCAGAGTGGACAGTGAGAGAGAGAGAGAGAGAAAGGTCTTCCTTGTCCGTTGGTTCACCCCTCCCCCCCAATGGCCCCTGCAGCCGCGCACCATGCTGATCCGAAGCCAGAAGCCAGGTGCTTCTCCTGGTCTCCCATGCAGGTGCAGGGCCCAAGCAGTTGGGCTATCCTCCACTGCACTCCTGGGCTACAGCAGAGAGCTGGGCTGGAAGAGGGGCAACCGGGACAGAATCTGGCGCCCCGACCGGGACTAGAACCCGGTGTGCCGGCGCCGCAGGCGGAGGATTAGCCTATTGAGCCGCGGCACCGGCCACTTTTTGCTTTTTTAAAAAAGATTTATGTATTTATTTATTTTTTAATTTTTAAAAAAATTTTTTGACAGGCAGAGTGGACAGTGAGAGAGAGAGACAGAGAGAAAGGTCTTCCTTTGCCTTTGGTTCACCCTCCAATGGCCGCCGCGGCTGGTGCGCTGCGGCCGGCACACCGCACTGAGATTTATTTATTTATATGGAAGGCTGAGCAATAGAGGAGAGAGACAGACAGACAAGAGATAACGTCCATCCACTGATTCATTCCCAAAATGTTTATAACAGTCAGGGCTGGGCCAGCCTGAAACCAGAAGCCCAGAACCCCATCTGAGTCTCCTCTGTGGGTGGCAGGAACTCAAGCACTTGAGCTGTCATCTACTGCTTCCCCTGGGCATTAGCAAGGTTAATATTTGTAGGGCCTGGAACGGGCTTTTGTATTGTTATGTTTATTGGCTCCTCTGAGGGTAGGGGGGAGGCACTCAAGAAAAGAACAGAGAGGTTGCAGGTGACTGCTGTTTGTGTGTGACTGAGCCGGTTCACTAATGTTTCACTTCGTAATACCCTGGGTCATTTCCATGGTTTTAAAGGGGGAAGGTGAATGTCTCCTCAGAGGAGCAAACGTGTGCATATGTGTTAATGTTGTACAATCATTTATTCAAACCTTCTTATCAGTGGTATACAATGCAAGAGGTACTTTTTAAGGTGCAGCAGCAATGAACAAAAGAAAAAATCACTGCTCTAATAAAGTCTGCATTTAGCTTTGTATAGAACCACCAGTGTATAGGATTGGTTGAGAAGAAAGAGAATGAAAACAAAATGACAGCATAGATAAAAACTTTGCTTCAAAAGCAACAAGGAGAAGTAGAAAGATAATCCATGGGATCAGTGAAAATATTTGAAAATCATATGTCTGACATCATACATTTAGAATAAAAATATCTTGACTATATGAACAAGTCAATAATAAAAAGACAATGCCCCTATTTAAGAATGGGCAAATACAGACTTAGGAACATAGTGATTCTTCCCACCCTATCCACTCTCCCACCAGCACTCCCACCCTTCCTCCTCCTCCCTCTCTTATTCCTATTCTTATTTTTTTCTAATATCTATTTTCAATAACTTTATATACATAAGATTAACACTATACAAGTAAAGAATTCAACAAATAGTATGAAAAAAACTGTTTGAGACAAGGGCTGTTCAAAGTCCTAGCACTTCGAAGTGTCTATTGATGTTTTCAAAATGGGTAATGAACAAATGAAAATATACTCGACATCATTAGCCATCAAGAAAATGCTAATCAAAACCACCATGAATACCATTTCATACCCACTAGGATAACCATCATAAAGATAGTCAACACTAAGTGTTGGCAAGAATGTGGCAAAATGAGACTTTCATATGCTGCTGGAGGTAATTTAAAATAGTTCGACCATCATGAAAAATATTCTCACAGTTCTTCAAATATTAATCATAGAGTTCCCATACGACCAAGAGATTCCACTGTTAAGTATCACTCAAGAGAAATGAAATTATATGTCCGTACAAAAGCTTCTATGTTAATGTTTTAGCAGTATTTACAATATCTGAAGGTGGAAACCAGCAAATGTCTTATTGAATGATGAATGGGTAAGTAAAATGCGACGTTGTCATAAGTTTTTTGGCAAGAAAAAGAAATGAGGTACTGATGCATACTGCAACATGGCCGGACCCTGAAACAAATAATGCTAAATGAAAGAAGCCAGACACAAGGACACATATACGGTATGATTCTATTTTTAGGAATTCTCCAGAATAGGCAAATCCAAAGATATGGAAAGAATATTCATGGGAATGAAGTCT